AAAGGTTAATAAAGCATTATGTAACCTATCCCTGGGGGTATTTTCCACCCCTTTCTGTTTGTTCAACATATCTTTTATAGTTCGATTTGATCTTTCTATAACTGCTTGACCTGTAGGATTGTATGGTATACCTGTAACATGCTTAATATTATAATAAGCAAAAAATCGTTTCATTTTCCTAGAAACATAAGCTGGACCATTATCTGTCTTTATCTGTGTAGGTATACCCATGATGGCCATAACTTCTAATAAATGAGTGATTACTGAATCAGCTTTTTCTGAGCTTAAAGCAGTTGCCCATTGGAAACCTGAGTACGTGTCAATGGTGTGATGTACATATTTTAATTTGCCAAATTCTGGAAAGTGAAACACATCCATCTGCCAAATTTAATTCCTTTTAATACCCTTTGGATTAGTCCCTGCAGGCAATGGTGTTTGGTTATAAAAAGAGCAAGTAGGGCATTTCTTTACAATCTCCTTAGCTTGTTGCCATGTAATAGAAAACTCTTTTTTCAAGCCTTTGCTATTGACATGATGTTTTTTATGAAATTCAGATGCCTGCAGCACACTACCAATCAATAAGTGATCAATATCTGCATTACCTTGTGCTAGAGGACCTGGCAGACCCATATGGGATTGGATGTGTGTTATATACATAGGGCAGAGCCTGTTCCTGATCATGTCTTGTACCTGGATAAACAATGAGGTCAGTTCTGTATCATCAGGTATAAATTCAGCAGTTTTAATATGCAAGATAACTCTTTCTGCATATTGTGAGTCAGTAATTATATTAAGAGGTTCTTTAAAATCCCTAAGCACCATAAAAATGGCATATAATTCTGCCTTCTGAACAGAATCATAAGGACTTTGTTCCACTTTACTCAATTCTTCTGATTTGTAACCTGCTTTCCCTGATTTATTAGCATCAGTATAAAATGTACGGGCTCCGGTTATTGGAGCATCACGGACAATTCGAGGAAGGATCCAAGAAGTTCTCTTTATAAAATTAAGTCTCTTGCTTTTTGGGTAATTGTTATTGATTTCTCCCAAAAAATTAGCACAAGCTCTTTACCATGGTTCATTGTCTTCCCACAACTTTTTTATCTCATCAGCAGTGAAAGGCACTATAATTTCTGCTGGGTCTATACCTGCTAATTGACGAAATCTCAATTTTCCTTTTATAATCAATTCAGAGACTTTTTCCACATAAATAAAGTTTTTAATTTTTTACTTGGTTTGTGTGGCAAAAAGATCCATTCCAAGATAATATCGTCTCTTTGCATCAAAATTCCTGTAGGAGAAATTCTGGAAGGCAATATAACAAGAATACAACTAAGCTTTGGATTTACCCTGTCCACATGAGCCTCCTGTAATTTTTCTTCAACCATTGTCAGTTCTTTTTCTGCTTCAGCTGTTAATTCTCTGGGACTGTTTAAGTCTTTATCACCATCCAAGGTTTTGTTTAAATGAATTATTAGATCAGGTGTTATCCCAACAGCCGGTCGTAGGCTGGAGATGTCTCCTAATAATCTTTGAAAGTCATTAAGAGTTCGTAACCGATCTCTCCTGATTTGTGCCTTTTGTGTCTTAATTCTTTGTAAACCTATTTTATAACCTAAATAATTAACAGAATCTCCTCTCTGAATTTTTTCAGGAGCAATTTGCAATCCCCATTTAGGTAACACTATTTTTACTTCTTCAAACAGCCTTTCTAAGGTATCTTTGTTTTGATCAGAGATCAGGATGTCATCCATATAGTGGAATATTATGGACTTAGGAAATAGTTTGCATATAATTTTTTTTATATTTATTTATTATGTATACAATATTCTGTCTGTGTGTATGCCTGCAGGCCAGAAGAGGGCACCAGACCCCATTACAGATGGTTGTGAGCCACCATGTGGTTGCTGGGAATTGAACTCAGGACCTTTGGAAGAGCAGGCAATGCTCTTAACCTCTGAGCCATCTCTCCAGCCCCCTTGCATATAATTTTTAATGGTTGGCTTACAAAATATTGGCACAGGGTGGGAGAGTTTAACATTCCCTGTGGGAGGATGGTCCACTGGTACCTCCTTGCAGGCTGAGAGTTATTATAAGTAGGCACTGTGAAGGCAAACTTTTCTCTATCTTTTTCTTGTAATGGCATAGTGAAGAAACAATCTTTCAGATCAATAACTATAAGAGGCCATCCCTTTGGTAATGGGGAGGGCAGAGGAATTCCAGATTGCAGAGGGCCCATTGGTTGAATAACCTTGTTGATAGCTCTAAGATCTGTCACCATTCTCCATCTACCAGATATTTTCTTAACAACAAATACAGGAGAATTCCAAGGGCTGGTAGATTCTTCTATATGTCCAGCATCTAATTGCTCTTGTACCAGCTGTTCTAAGGCCTGTAACATTTCCTCAGCTAAAGGCCATTGTTTAGTCTATATTGGTTTCTCAGTCAACCATTTTAGAGGCATGGCTGTTGGTACCTCTGAAGGGCCATCAATTGTGTTGTGTTCTTGTATAGTTCTAATGGCTGGTTTCTGCCATCTGTAATATCTTGTAGTATTTTCCTCAGAAATATAGGCTCTAGAAGCAGCAGGAATGTTAATTTGGGTATTTCATTGCTGCAATAGGTCACAGCCCCATAAATTCACTGCAATATTGACTACATATGGCCTTAGTTTTCCTATTTGTCCATCTGGACCTATACAATTGACCCATCTTGTGCTTTGTCTTACTCGAGATAGAGTTCCATTTCCTTTACTGTAAAGGCTGCCAGGTGCTGTGTGTGCTCAGGCTGCTAGGCCTACGCCACAAGGTGGGAAAAAGGGCCCACATTCAGTCACCAAAATGTAGCTGCAGGGTGATTAGTAATGAAAAGAACCCAGACTATCTTGATACAAAATATACAGCTTTAATAAACAGAAGTAAGACTTACAACAGCTTACACCAGAATCCAAACTATCTGTCCGGATGCAGGAACCAGGCGAAAAAAGAGAGCTAGCGGAGCTAGCTTGCTAGGTTTATAGGCAGGCTTTTGCCTGAGGGCGGCATGCACCCAAAACAGAATATGATTGGCTGAACTCCCCTATCACACAATCAATATACTCAATCAATCAATCAATCAATCATAAACCTAGATGTTCTCAGAACATTTATTTATTTTTCTATGTAGCCTAGGCTGGCCTGGAATTTGCTTCCTATCCTTGGCTAGCCTCAAACTCTCCTTCCTCAGCTTCTTGAGTTCTGGGATTACAGGTATGCTATGACACACTCGGATTTAAACATATTTTAATGAAAACATTGACTGTAATTAGTCTAAGGCTTGAGTAAGGCTCCAGTATCTACTTCCTAGCTGATTCCTGTGCCCTTTGGCGAGAGGTTGTAGATCCTCTTCAGGTGAAAAGAAGAAATTAAAAAGGAAGGACATGACTGCTCCTAGAAATGGTGGAGTAGACAGTTAATTGTAGATAAAAGGGAGAGCATGGCCAGAGGCAGAGACATTTGGGAGAATCCAGAGTGACCATGACCAGACTAAGCCATGTGAGGGGAGGGGTGGAGGTGGTTTTCCTGTCCCAGCCACCTGCTCCCAAGTAACTGACTCAGAGACTTAATATAAATTATAAATGCACTGCCAATAGCTCAGGCTTGTTACTAACTAGCTCTTACAGCTTAACCCATTTCTATTAATCTATGTGATGCCCTGAGGCTTGTGGCTTTTACCTCTATCCCATTTTGTATGTCAAACTTGTTCTCAGTTTGACTTTCCTGCTTAACTTTATCCTGTTCAGCTATTGGCCAGTCAGCTTGTTTATTAAACCAATCACAGTGATATATATTGACACTATGTACAGAAGGATTATTCCATAGCAGAGTGGAGAGAAGAGGAGAGAGAAGAAAGGAGCCAGACCAAGAGACCAGGAGGGTAAGGGGTAACCAAGATGGTTGGATTATATAGGGAAGGGCATCCCAGCCCCTGGACTGGAGAAATTTATGGTAGGAAGTGGGGTATGCCCTCCTGGAGGGTCATGCAACAGGTAGGGACTAAGGGATGCTGGGAGACCTGGATGCCAGCGTCTGTTTTGATATGTTAAGCAGGCATCTCAGTTTCGGGTTTGAGACCTAAGGACTTCCTCCTCAGAGCAAACCATCTGAGACTGCCATCAAGACCAAAACCACCATGACTTTTATTACCTAATTGCAGAAATTGCAAAGGTTATGTGCGTGTTTGCTGATCAGAAAAGCCAAAGTGAGAAAGGGCTACACAAAACTGTGGCTAACTTGAGGCACAGACCAGCAGGAGCTACTTTGAAGACCCGTTACCACAGTGAGCGGAGAAGTTAGCTTGTCTTTGATGCAACCACTTGATAACCATATCCCGGTTACTAAAAAAACCATCCTGGTTCCTGGAAAAACCATAAGCAGACTGCTGACCTTGTTGACTGACTGTCTTTTCCTGCTTTTAAAACCCTTTTCTGAGCCCCAAAGAACTGGAGAAGGGCAACCAAGTCTTGGGACTCTTCATGCCAAGGAGCTCTGACCCTGACCCAAGTCCCAGATCCTTTGCATGCAGGTCAGGATCCTCTCACGTCTGTTTCTGTCTCTTTCCCTTGCTGTGGAATAGGCTTCTTTGGCTTCCACACTCACCTGTTGTCTGTGAACTAGTGTGAGACGTGACCCAGTGCTGACCTCTGGCGTTAGGAGTGCTGGTGACTTGATTACTTTACACCAATACCAAGCCCACCTGAGTCTACTAACCAGAATAGTATTGGGAGGGAGTTCCAGTGAGCACTGAAAATTCTCCCACGTTTAATTTCCAACTGCTTAAAATACCCCTGACCCCAAAACGTAGGAGTAAGACAAAAGACTGTGTTAACATGAACAGGCCAATTGAAGATCACGGGCTACATTCATAGTTTAACATTCTGTTGCTAGAACAAAACAAGTCACACTCACACACTAGACCCAAACATTTCTGTAGGCAAACCACTCCCTGGGTGGAATCCTAACTCATTTTCATAAAGGGAACTGGAACTTAGTAGGATCCTTAGACTTTTGTTTGAGGTAGGGACAGCTCTGTTCCTGAAGCACAAGGTCTGGCAATTAGCCACACCTGTTGACAATAACCTTGAGAGAGCAGAACTCTCAGACCGCCTAGGTGGGGCCTTTGTTTGAAGCACTATAACCTGGAAGGAATTAGAAGAATATTCCAAACTCTCTGACCTTTGGTCTAGGTGGAAATCGGCCTTTTGGGGCCTCCACGTCCTCCTGTGCAGCACCACCTTCCGGCTTAGGGCAGTGAGGATCAACTTCATGAGGCAGGGGAGCTCCTGTATGGGTCAGTCTGCCCCTGAGTTCTGTCAGTAGGGAAGACAGCCTAACACAGCCTGGATGGGTGGGTTCGCTGTCCTAGGAATCTGTACTCGGCCTTGAAGCTCAGCTGTGTTGTCTGTTTTCTTAAAGATTACTTTATGCTTATGTGTTTACATTCCTGCCTGCAGGCACGTATGTGTGCTCCATGTACACCTGGTGGCAGTGGAGGCCAGAAGACTCCCCTGGAAATGTAGTTATAGACAGTTCTGAGCCATCAGATGGGTACTGGGAAATTAACATGGGTCCTCTGTGAGAACAAGTGCTCCAACCCTCCAACCACGAAGCCATCGTAACAGCCATTAGGTTCTTTCTTTAATTTTTAAAATTTATTTTAAAATTTGTGTGTTGCCCTGGCCTGCAGGTAAGTCAACGGAGACCCTAGAAAGGGAGTGAGAATGGGATGGGACAAGAGACACAAGAGATAGAGACAAGACAGGATTCTGATCAAATCTCGTTTATTCAAGGGAATAATCCAGGTAAATACAGGGTAAGGGAAAGGAGGAAATTTTCCTTGTGAATATGGGTAACTAGAGAACTTACTTGGCACCTTAACGGTGGTCTGATGGTGAGGTGGAAAGTCCCTGGCTACATCATGCAGAAAGGTCAGAATGTTCAGAACACAGGAACAATGGAGCAATAACTCCTTGCATAGTTAGTGTTTGACAGATCAGAACAGCAGGAGAAGCCAAGCGCAAAGGGTGGGCGAAACTGATCCAGGGAGCAGTAAATCTCCCACAGTGTGTGTGTGTGTGTGTGTGTCTGTGTGTATCTGTGTGTTTGTGCATGTCTGTATGTATTTATATGTGTGTGTGTAGTGTCTCTGTGTGTGCATATCTGTATGTATCTGTGTGTGTGTGTAGTATCTGTGTGTGTGCGTGTCTGTGTGTGTCTCTGTGTGTGTGTGCATGTCTGTGTGTATCTGTGTGTGTCTTTCTGTGTGTGTGTGCATGTCTATGTGTATGTGTGTGTGTGTGTGTGTGTGTATGTGTGTGTCTATGTCTAGGTCTGTGCATGTGAGTGCAGGCACCAGTGGAGCCCAGAGGAGGCACTAGATCTTTTGGAGCTGGAGTTACAGGTGCAGGGATATAAGTGCAGGTCCTCTGCAAGAGCAGTCTGAGCCCTTGACCTCTGAGCCAGCTCCTCCCACCCAATCTGTGTTCTTTTGTTTGTTTGTTTGGTTGGTTGATTTTTCAAGACGGTTTCTCTGTGTAGTCCTGGTTGTCCTAGAACTCGCTCTGTAGACCAGGATGGCCTCCAGCTCACAGAGATCCGCTTGCCTCTGCCTCCTGAGTGCTGGGATTAAAGGCCTGTGCTACCCACCGCCTAGCCTATCTGTTCTTAAGCATCTGCTGAAACCAGGGATTTTGAGTGTCTTTTTGTTGGTTCTTGGTCTTGCTGATAAATGCATTTTAAAATAGACTCAGAAGGAAACTAAAGGCTGTTTTTATTAGCATTTGAGAGAAAGTCAACAGAGCAGGAAAGTTATAGATCTTAGCAGCCTCCAGGAAAAGAACAGTGGACAGAAAGAGAGAAGCTTGTGTTTTGGGATGTAGGATCCAGGAGGGCAGGCGTGTTCAGCAATAGAGGTCAGTGAGCAGCTGCTGTGGAGTGGAGGGATGTTTAGAAGAAGTCCAGGCATTGGCAGAAGAGCTTCTGGACATTTCCTTAACGCGCCTTCAAGGGAATCAACTTTTGGGAGGAGGGGAGTCTCCTAGCCAGGTGGTTGACAGGCCTGGTCATATTAACAATTAGGGAAGGGAACAATGGTGCCCAATGTTCTGATATTTGGGGTAGATCAGAATACCAGATCCCCAGCCAAGGCCCAAGATAGAATTCAGGTTTCATTCTTTTGACTAGGAGAAAGTAAGTTAATAGGGCTCAGTGGAGCCTTGACACCCAACCCCTTTAATTTGGCTGTTTAAATCCTAAAGAGAAGCTGGGCGGTGGTGGCGCATACCTTTAATCCCAGCACTCGGGAGGCAGAGGCAAGTGGATCTCTGTGAGTTCGAGGCCAGCCTGGCCTACAAGAGCTAGTTCCAAGACAGGCTCCAAAGCTACAGAGAAACCCTGTCTCAAAAAACAAACAAAAAATCCTAAAGAGGGGCAAAGCTGAATCTGAATCTTCCTATTCTAGAGTTGCCAGAGAAACAGGAGGTGGAGCCAAAGCTGATTATGAGAGAAGGGTCCATCTTCACTGGCCCCCAAGACTGCCAATGCTTGTTCAACCCCCAGCACCGCGGCAGAAATCATCACTCCTTTTGGACCCTATGTCTTCTGCAGCTGTTTGGTCTGTCACATGTACTACCCATGTTTCCATTTTAATACCGGAGTGGCTGTCATTTTCCATGTCAGACCCTTGGTGGTTTTGTGGTTGTGCATACTTGTTTCCTTCTGGGACGATGTGAGAAATGTTTCTTCACTCCACGTAGCACACCAGTACACACCAGTGACAGATGGGAGTGTGATGCCACCAAAGCCCAGCCAGCCAGACCAGTGAGTGTGGGCACTCACAGACAGAGCATGGATGAGGGGTTACTCAAAGGAGCATGGGGGATCACAACTGCATCAGTCCAAGGTTGCACCCTATTGTAGATGATGCCCGGATGGGAGCCGCACTGTGGAGCCCCATGGAGCCCCATTTCCATTCAGCCAGCTATCCTATGTGCTCTAGAATCTCCCAGGATCACACTTGCCGCTGAGCGAGAGCAGGTCGTAATGGCCGCCCTCCCAGCAGATGGTCCTGTGACCATCCTTGGGCCCCTTCTACTTAGAACTATCAACACTACCAGCCAAAGAACCTCTGCTCCAGAATATGTCCAGAGGAAGAGTGTCCTGTCACGGTGTCCTTGACGGTGGAACCAGTTTTACAGACAGGCACTCCAAGTGAAGTACGGACGGACGCCTTTAATACTGGCACTCTGGGAGGCAGAAGCAGGCCCTGCTCTGTGAATCTGAGCTAGCCATGATAATACATAGAGAGTTCTAGGCCAGCCAGGGCTACATAGGAAGACATTGTCTCAAAACAGAAAAGAAGCCAGGTGGTGGTGGTGGTGCACACCTTTAATCCCAGCACTCAGGAGGCAGAGGCAGGTGGATCTCTGTGAGTTCGAGGCCAGCCTGGTCTACAAGAGCTAGTTCCAGGCCAGGCTCTAAAACTACAGTGAAACCTTGTCTCGAAAAACAAAACAAACAAAAAAAGTAGTGACTTTCTTTCCCCCTCCTTTCTTTCTTCCCTTTTTATAAAAAAATTTTTTGAGGTGTGTGTGTGTCTCACTAATTCTGCTCTGCTGGCCAGAAACTCACAGAGATCTTTCTGCCTCTGCTTTGGGAGAGCTGGGATTAAAGTCACCGTTACACCTGGACGGAGAATGACGAAGTTTCACAGGTCACCTGACTGCTTCCAGGGAGAGTCGCTTTAGTTATTACTATTGCTGCTATTTTCCCTGTTGTCTTTAGTGCCCTCTGATATCCCCACACAGAGTTTATGTGTGAGTGGAAGAGGGGAGGATTCACTTTTTAAATCACCATCAGTGATATGATGGTGTGCACGGTGTGGTCTAGCCCAGCACTCAGGAAGCAGAAGCAGGAGGATCTCTGAGTTGGAGGCCAGCCTGGTCTACAGAGTGAGTTCCAGGACAGCCAGGGCTACTCAGAGAAACCCTGTCTCAAAAAACAAACAAAATTTATAAATAAATAAATAATCAGCCTGTAGGAAAACCTGTAAGGCGTTTACTTAATTAATGATGATGTTGGCGGGCCCAGTCTATTGTGGGTGGGGCCATCCCTGGGCAGGTAGGTCTGGGTTTTATAAGAAAGCAGGCAGAGCAAGCCATGTGGAGCAAGTCAGTAAGTGATACCTCTCCATGGCCTCTGCATCAGCTCCTGCCTCCAGGTTCCTGTTCTGTTGAGTTCCTATCCTGACTTTCTTTGAAGATGGACAGAGATATGGGACTATGAACCAGATAAACCCTTCCCTCCCCAATTTGCTTTTGGTTTTATCATTGGAGTAGTAACCCTAACTAAGACACCTGCTTCACTTCAGAAATGTCTTTCACTATGCAGGTATTTTTTTTTTTAAGATTTATTTATTTACTTTGTATATAGTATTCTTAGTACTCTACCTGCAGGCCAGAAGAGGGCACCAGATCTCGTACAGATGGCTGTGAGCCACCATGTGGTTGCTGGGAATTGAACTCAGGACCTTTGGAAGAGCAGGCGGTGCTCTTAACCACTGAGCCATCTCTCCAGCCCCTATGCAGGTATTTTTTAAAGTTCTGATACACATTTCAATGTTCCATCTCTGCCACTACAGGTGTTTCTCTACAGTCATGACTCAGGAGAGGCCGTTGGTGACAAAGGGCACAAAAATCCTGTTAGGGGCTGGAGAGCTGGTTCAGCGATTAAAAGCCTGTGCTGCTTTGGCAGAAGACAAGTCCAGTTCCAAGTACCCATGGTGGGTGGCTCACAACTGCCTGTAACTCCAGCTCCAGGGGATTCCGGTACCCTCATCTGGACTCTGTGGGCACCCACATTCACATACACTCTCACACAGACACACACACACACGCAATTAAAAAAATAAGTCTTAAGGATGGGTTTCTAAAGCAGAAGGCAAATCATGCTGATTTCTGTGGTGTGTACAGACACAGGTTAACACGGACATGACAGCTGGGAGGGGGTCAGAGAGGGAGGATTACAATAATCAGAGTGGTCCTTATATGTGCATGAACTTGTCAAAGGGAAAATGTAATAAAAGTTAGACAAAGTTGGAAAACGTAATAATAGCAATAATGATAAATTACCTTCCTGTGTAGGAACAAGAGGAAGCACTATCCAGGGCGCAGGCTTCAGCTGTTGCCAGTTTCTGCTCATTTCAAAAGCAACTGTGTCAGTGGTATAGGAACCGGAGGGACACAGTGTCACCACCCCACCCCCTCACCCCACCTCCGATACGCATGGCCACCCCGGCTCCTTATCTTGGCATGGACTTTATAAGTTACATTCTGGACCTTTCTTGGATGTTTCTTAAATACAGTCCCACCAGAAGAGCAGACTCATTAATATTTCAACCACCCTCCATGGACACACATAGGCTGTTCTGTTTAAGAAGGACAAAACCTTTGCACTTACCCAGTAAAAATTAAATCTTTATTAATGATTATACTGTAAGATGTTTTGGGGAATCAGCAGTCTAAGAACTTGGGGCTGAAAATGTAACTCAGTGGTAGGGTGCTTGCCAGACATATACAAGGCCGTGGGATCAATTCATAGCATTACCAAAGAACATGTCCCAGAATTTCAGTTTAAAGCAGCACTTGGGTGTGGGGGTAGAAGGACGAGAAAATGAAGATCAGATCTGGCCAGACAGTAAGTGTGAGGTTGGCTTGTTTATTTTTAAAGGAAAGTTTGTGGGCCATGAAGATTCTTTCTACTAAGAGAGACAAACTGAGTTCAATCCCTGAGTCCCGCATGGTAGAAAGAGAAGCCACTCCCAAAAGCTGTCTCCTGACGTCCACACATGTTCTGCGGCGTATGCACACTGATGTATCTCCCCACACGAAATAAAGAATTAATAGTTTTTAAGAGGCTAAGAAATCGATGAAGAGCTGGGTGTGGTGGCGCATGCCTTAATCCCAGCACTAGGGAGGCAGAGGCAGGCGGATCTCTGTGAGTTCCAGGACAACCTGTTCTGCAAAGAGAATTCCAGGGTAGCCATTACTCAGAGAGACTGACTCACAACTGTATGTAACTGCCCACCTTCTCCTGGCCTCTACGGGTGTAAGATAATGCATGTGGCACACAGGCATACATGCAGGCAAAATACCCATACATAGAAGATAAAATAAAAATAAAAATTTATCGGAGCGGTGGTGGTGCACACTTTTAATCCCAGCACCCAGGAGGCAGAGGGAGCAGATCTCTTTGAGTTCAAGGCTAACCTGGTCTACAGAGAGAGGTCTGGGATGGGCAATGATGCTACATAGAGAGACCCTGACTCAAAACTAACAAACAAAAAAAGAATGCTCCCATAGACTCATATATTTGAATACTTGGTCACCAGAGAGTGACACTATTTCAAAAGATGAGGTGTGGCCTTGCTGGAGGGAGTCTGTCACTGGGGGTGGCCTTTGAGCTTTCAAGAGCCCATGCCAATGGCAGAATCTCTCAGGCAGTGAATCAGGTTGTCAGCTTCTACTCCAGTACCTGCCTGCATGCCTCCATGCTTCCTGCCATGGTGATCGTGGACGAACCCCTGACACCCTAAGCCAGCCCTCAGTTAAATGCTTTCTCTTATAAGGGTCACCCTGGTCATGGTGTCTCTTCACACCAACACAACGCTGATCAAAACAAAATGGAGGTCTCATAAGGAAGGGTCTCTACAGGTGTCAGATGGGGAAGCAAACCTCAGAGATGAGAACGAAACCCCCGCGCAGATTGACTTGTCAGCCTGGGTCAGACTTCAGGAGTCTACTGGCAGGCGATTCATGGCAGCATCCTGAAAACACAGTTCGATTTGGGAAAGGTTTCCAGGCAGCAGTCAGTCCACTTCTGGGTGCACAAGGAAGCTTAAGCTATGACTATGTAGGGGTAGGGTCTTTTACAAATGAAACACTTTTGTTTTTGTTTTTCGTTTTGGTTTTTTGAAACAGGGTTTCTCTGTAGCTTTGGAGCCTGTCCTGGAACTAGGTCTGTAGACCAGGCTGGCCTTGAACTCACAGAGACCCGCCTGCCTCTGCCTCCCGAGTGCTGGGATTAGAGGTGTGTGCCACCACCGCCCGGCGAAATGTTTTCTTTCTCAAGAGTTGCTGTGGTCCTGGCATCTATTTGTGGCAATAAAATTCTACCTGAGCCAGGCACATCCTTAATCCCAGCCCTCCCAGCACTCTGGGAGTCAGGGCATGATCTCTGAATTGAAGGCGAACCTATCTGTAGCCTGAGTTCCTGAACAGCCAGGGCTACACAGAGAAATCCTGTCTTGAAAAACTACACACACACACACACACACACACACACAGCCCAACCAAACAAAAACCTTAAATGAGTTAGTTTGTGGAGGTGTTTCCAGGAAGGATTAGGCAGCAGGGTTCCCGTCTCCCTTGGAAGAGGGTCCCAACACAAACGACCTACTCTGATGTAGGTGGTACTGTCCCTAGGGCTTGGGGCAACAAAAAGTAAAAAATGAGAAAACCAGAGTTCTGGTTTTCTCCCTTCCCAACTTCCTGTTTTGCTGTGGCATGAGGAACCTCCTTGGGCCCCCTTTGCATGACTGACTGAACTTCTGAAACCACGAGGCCAAGTGAGCCCGCTTCCGATGGTTCTGC